GCTTCCTGCAATTTCTGTCATCACACTGGGGATTTGGCTTCATGGACATAGTAGGAAAAAAATCCTGCATTGCATTGTATCCAAGGTAAAAACTAACAGTACCAAAATTTAACAGAAACCTAGAAAAATCAAAGTAGACATAAAGAAATTAAAACCATGAAAAATACTAGAACAGTTAAATTTTTAAAAAATAACTTTGAAATAGGTAAATGATACACTTTTTAAATCAGAAAACAGAAATCTGCATCCAGAAAACAGCAATTTTCTCTTATTTACAGTGCCTGGCTCATAGTAGATGCTTCAGTATTTATTGAATGAAGGAAAGAAAAGATTACTCCATTTCATCAACTGTAGAACACACTATTTTTTTGAACCTCTAATAAAGATTAAATGCTGGCAGCTAAACTATTACATGTCAATAACTTCAAGAAGCATGCTGATTTCAGAGAAGCTAAAATGTGGGAGAAGTGTATTTTTTAAATCCCTGATATATGGTATTAAAGCTACTTAATTTTTTTTAACATTTTGTATGTAATTTACTATAAAATGCACAATCTTAAATGTATAGCTCAGTAAAATTTTGTATGAATCTTTCATGGAACCGTCACTAGATCAAGATATAGAACATTTTCAGCATCCCATGTGCCTCCAGCTCCCTCCTGTCCTCTTCCCAGTCAAATCTGATACTTTTTACTCTGCTGCCCATACTGGAGTACAGTGGTGTGATCATGGCTTACTGTAGCCTCACCCTCCCAGGCTCAAGCAATCCCATCTCAGTCTCCCAAGTAGCTGTGATTACAGGCAAGCACCACCACGCTTGGCTAATTTTTGCATTTTTTTTGGTAAAGATGGGGCTTTGCCATGTTGCCCCAGGCTGGTCTCGAATTCCTGGGCTCAAGCGATCTGCCTGCCTTGGCCTCCCAAATTGTTGGGATTACAGGCGTGAGCCACTGCACCCAGCCAATCTGATGTCTTTTATTAGGTTGGCGCAAAAGTAATTGCAGTTTTTGTTAAACGTAATGACAAAATCTGCAATTACCTTTGCACTAACCTAATAAAAGTTTTTATACAGAAAAAATCACATAAAAAAGATAAATGACAAAAGAAAAATATTTGCAAATACACATTCTTAATATACAACAAAACAAAAAAGAGCAACAACTATTAGCAGACAATTCACAGATGAAGTGTTCAACTTTTTTCACAAATAAAAATAAAAATTAAATGCCTATTTTTTACCCACCAGAATGACAAAGGTTACAGAGTTTGATGATACCCAAAGTTATCAAAGGTATGGGTCAACCAGGTAGTCCTAAACTATGATACAAATGTATAATCTAAACTATAATACAAATGTATAATCCTTTTGCAGGAGAAATTTAGTAAATATTTCATAAATTCAGAAATTCTACTTTAAAAAAATGTGTACTATAGGCCGGGTGCAGTGGCTCATGCCTATAATTCCTAACACTTTGGGAGGCCGATATGGGCAGACTGCTTCAGCCCAAGAGTTCAAGACCAGCCTGGGGAACATAAGGAGACTCTGTTTCTACAAAAAATACATAAAAATTAGCTGGGCGTGGTGGTGGGTGCTTGTAGTCACAGCTACCTGGGAGGCTGAGGTAGGAGGATCACTTGAACCTGGAAGGTGGAGACTGCAATTAGCTGAGATTGTGCCTCTGCGCTCCAGCCTGGGTGACAGAGTGAAACCCTGTTTTTTTTTTAAAAAAAAAATGTACTATAGAAAACTCTAGGCTGGGCACGGTGGCCTGTAATCCCAACACTTTGGGAGGCTAAAGTGGGCAGATCACTTAAGCTCAGGAGTTCAAGACCAGCCTGAGCAACGTGATGAAACTTTGTCTCTACAAAAAATACAAAAATTAGCCAGGCATTGTGGCATACACCTGTACTTCCAACTACTTGGAAGGCTGAGGTGGGAGGATCACTTGAGCTCGGGAGGTTGAGGCTGCAGTGAGCCATGATTGTGCCACTGCACTCCAGCTTGGGCAACACAGTGAGACCTTGTCTCCAAAAAAAGAAAAAGAAGAGAGATCGATCTAGTATTCAGAGATATATACAAGATGTAGCCTGTAGCATTGTTAATAAAAAAAAAAAAAAAAGAATTAAGTAGCCTAAATGACCATCAACAGAGGGGCTAGCTAAATAGGACACATCCTTAAGAGAATACTTGGTTAGCCATGATTCTTTGCTTCTTTTTTGTATCATACTATGAAATGTTTTGTTTAGACAGGGCCTAATACTGTCTAAACAGGCTATTTGCTCATATGAAATAGCCCTAGACCATTACTTTGAGAGTTTATATGTATGCTTTTTTCAATTTCTTTGCTAGCAACTGACACTTCTTATTGTTTGGTGCCTCCATGTATCTTGTTGCAGTTTGTTCTTATTATATTGGAGGCTTAGGGTATACAACTAAGCTTATTAAAGTTGTGAAATGAGGGAAAATAAATGGCCTGAATTAGAGAACACCTAAAGGGGATCTGCTTTTAATGAAGTATGAGTTGATTCATAAACTCTGACATAAATTTTAGCAGCAAAGAAATCTTTTCCCTTCTTTTTAGCTATAGTTTAGATAGTAAAGTTGCTGGATGTTTGTTTTTGGATAGCAGAGGTATCCAAAAGCAGATTTTAAGAATCTGTTTTTTTTTTTTTAAGTATTGTTAATGCGTTTTATATTAACACTAATATAAATGTTAACATTTTATGTATATGTAAGTGTAAAATTTACAGTAACAATGTTTAATTACATTAACATTAATAATTACTGTTTAGTCACATTGGGGTTATTTTTGGTAAGACTTAAATCAAGATAGTAGAAACAAGTGTGTTTAAGTCTCCATCCACTGGTCAGACTTGGAAAGATTTAAATCATTTGGTTAATGCTTCATAAATAAATATGTCACTACCATTGTATCATTTCATAAAAGCTATTCCAAATGCAGGGAGTAACTGACATTCTATATATTCATGTATGAGTATCAATATACATAATATTTAATATAGCAATATATATGAAAAGTAGACATACATATATAAAATAGAATGTACACGTATGCATATATAAAACATTTAAAACTACATTTAAAAGTAACTATAGACTTAGCTTATAATTTTAATTTCTGAAATGCTTTGTGAAATATATTTATTTTTATTGAAAGCACACAAGACTATTCAGAAAAATTAGCCCCGACTTACTTTAACACGTTTTGTACTAAGATCCCGGCAACCACACCCATAGTGGTAGGAAGACTGGCTGCACAAACACCTTCTCGTTTCAGAGTCTTTTCATCAATATTTGCAGCAACTACAAGTGGTGGAGCACACTACATGAACAAGAATAAAAGAAAACACATTTCAA